AGTAAATGCCAACGTGAACGGGGATGGCAACGATGGATGACAAGAACCGCCGACATCAGCAGGTACACATGAGAAATTCGGAGTATTCGTTTCTAAAGTGTTTCTAAACTAACTATTGCCACGGCCACTCGTCTTTATTTACTATTTACACCCCCGGAAAGCGCCAGCCGACGACTCAGCCGAAGCCATGGCTGGTTTGGAAGCGTCCTTTGGCACGGTAGCAGCTGAGAACACCACCTTCTATGGCGGAACTTTCGCAGAAGAGGCTCCGGTTGCTCTGGTGGTAGCAAGGAAGATAGGAAGGAGAGATGGATAGACACATCGACAGATAGGCAAATAGTCAGATGGGTAGATAGCCAGGTATATGGATAGATAGATGGATAGAAAGATAGATTAGATAGCTAGCAGCGAGCTAGCTAGCCAGCTAGCTAGCTGGGTGGGTAGATAGATAGATAGATGGATAGATAGATAGAATACCTATGCACGGTGTAGTATTTCACAAGTATGCTTGGTTGATGTAGTGCCATTGCTCATGCTATACCTCTTTAGATGTTTAAGCCCCCATCAACCCACGACCCTAAAGTGGCCCGCGGGTAATCTCTCTGAGCCACCTGCAAAAAGTAGGTATATGGTCTGGCCACAAGCTTTACAACCTTCGCGAAGTACGTAGTTGAGGTGAAGCCTTAATGTGCTTGTCCCGAGAAGCTTCGAAGCCTTGCTTGAAGGTGCATGGTTTATAAGCCCTAAACCCTATAAGCCCTAAACCCTAAACCCTATAAACCCTAAACTCTAAACCCATATCCCGTGCTAGGAGGCACGGACGATCTATCCCAGCCGCTGCAGCTCTATGGGGCAGCCGGGCGCGAGGACCTAAACAGATCATGCCGGGTGGTTGCCGGGTTTTGGGTTTAGGGGGTGTTGTTCCTTTTTCCATCGGGATCAGGCAACCTATCTTATGGCTGCTTGGAGGTTCAGATTCGAACAGCTACCATGGTGCAGGTTTATCGGATACCGGTCGAGATGCAGGGCTGAAAGTCTTAATGTTCCAGGCTTAGCGTTCAGAGGACTTCGGCTGGCTGCACGGCCGGAAACTCTTTTGGAAAGTTGCCCTTCGCACATTATACTGTTTGAAGAAGCGCCGGATCTCTGAGATTCGTAGGTGCCACAATCATTGATTCAGAGGGGGGGCATGAAGGACGCCTACGCCGGGATCCTCCCGTTCTACCCGACCGGAAGCCCTTCTCCCTACGCTGTTGTTTGGGGCCGTCTTGAAGAGGATTCCAGACTCCTTCCCGCCGCTGCCCAGCCCCTGCCGTGGCAGCTGGCAGTCACTCCGGCGCTCAATCAGTAAGAGCAGGCAGTGGCAACACTTAACAGTGCAAGAAGCATTGTCTTCTTCATCAGCAATGCAATCAGATCTAATGCAGTCGTATATATCGCACTAACCATGCACGACTATGATGGGCCGAGTGATGCAGAGTAACTTGTTTACTTACGTGGTATGTCTGTGTGTGTTGTTTTCTGTACTAACTAGCGCTCGCCACTATGACACATGCAAGCATATTAGTTTCAAATCGTGCCTAGGCGCTCAGAGTCTTAATCGTTTCGGCTCCATCTGCTTATGTTCAGAAAAAAGTGCCGTACCTGCATCAGGCGTCATTATCCGGCAACTCTTGCCATGAACATAGGCGTCCGTTGGCATCTCTGCGCTGCGTGACGTCTTCATTGCTTGGATGTCAGATACCGCTTCAGCCCTGACTAGTGACTAGAGGAAAGCATCGACTCCGGAAGCACTGGACGTTTCATCTCCACCCCAAAACGCTGGACCCCCTAAACCCTAAACCCTAAAGCCCAACTAAACCCTAAAGTCTAAACCCGAAGGCCCTGGTCTCCTGCTTTATCCCGGCTCCCAGACTGCAAACTTCGTTGATCGTTTTTGGAATTCTGAGAATCCCAAGCACCGACACCCCAAAACCCTAAAACCATAGCTCCCTATAGCTAAACATAGCTAACTCTTAAGTCTTAAAGTGTACCTTGCAAAGAAGAGTCCCAAGGTATGGGCAGGGCAACCCGCAGAGCTTTCAGAGCAGCTTTCCGAGCTTCAGCCTCTCAAGACCGCCACCGAGTCCCCAAAGGCTGGTTTAGGGTTTAGGGTTTAGGGTTTTGTAGGGCTTTCCGGGTGATACAGTGATACCACAAGCACCACAAGCACTTAAACTGTCTTGCGGGTAGAGCCCGTCCAGATGTTGCTTTCTAGAGCCTGATGTTTGCTAAACTGGTTTGGTCTGGGTTTGGGGTTTGGTTCTCGGGTCTGCACGGTTTTTGGGCTAGAGTTTGGAATTGATGTGGCTTCGGGATGGCCTTTCGGAGTCGAGGGGTGTTGAAACTTAAGACCGATAGTTGGCAAGCGACTTGTCATACCCACAACGCATTTCGGGCATTGCAGCCAAGATGGTGATTGGATTATAGGACTGAAGGAGATTGCAAAGCCGCAGTTGGAGTGACCCCAAGCGCTGTCAGGAATAGCTCGTGCCCGTGTCCCAGCTTCGGCAGCTCAGCTTGATAAGGACGCCACCACCACAACCAGCAACAACAACACCAATAATAGGAGTCCCGTCTGCAACAAGAGAAGCCGCAACAACCACAGCAATTGCCGCTGACGACAGGCACAACAACCATGACAACCACAACCACCATAGCAGCGACAACGACGACAACAGCAACGCAACGGCAACAGAGCCAGCGACAGCAACACCAAACAGCCTAGAGACAGTTAGGACTCGGCAGTAGTAGCGAAGACTCAGCCTCTGTATTTGTGCCATGTTGTGGAGTTGGGGCCACGGGATCCGTGTTATTGGGTCCGGGTGGTCAGGTCCCGATAATGTTCCTGCCAAGGAAGAAGTACTTCTCGCTATTGCGTAGGATGCACAAAGGTCTTAGAATGAAAAGTTCGAAGCTCCATTGTATGGAAGAGTCGGAGAATTGCCGCTGGTCCGAGGCGATGGCAAGGGTTTGGATTCCTTCTGGTCCTTCAACTCCCGGCACACCATCGCATCCAAGCCGATGAAGAACCTCACCCCACCTGGGCTCATTGCAACCGGGATACCTTGGTTAGAGTATGGCCCTGGTCAGGCAACTTTGCAGAGCCCCTTTGCTTCTCCCCGCAGCCGCAGCCCTTCGCCTGTCCCACAAGCGGCCCCAGCACTCCCTGCACCTCTGCGAATGGAACGCGGTCGGCCACTGAATCTCCCGGCCGGAGGTCCTCCTAGCCCCCTAAGCCCTCTCAGCCCCTTGAGGCCTGTGAGGCCAGTCAGCCCGAATCACCTGGCCGGATCTTGGCCATCAGCTCCAATCCCAGCTTGCCAAGTGCACCCCCCCAGCGTGACACGAACAGTTAGCCAGGCCACCTCTGTACCAGCACCGATTCCCATAGCACCCTCATCAGAAGCGACGCAAACTGCTCGCAGCAACATCAGCCGCATGACAACGAACCCGTGCGTGGGCCGAGTGGTTTATCTACCTCCGATCACCATTCCTTCGGGACAGCCGGGCCAGACAGAGACTGGGATCTGGCATACTAAACTTGTTTGCTCTCGTTTGCCTTTTGGGGATCCGGCTTCTGGAAAGCCTACATGTTATAAGTCTTTGGGAACCGGTGTAGATTGAGAGTTTAGACAGCTTTTCTCGTTTGCTACGTCAAAAACCCGAGGAGACGCCGGCCAGCAGAAGCCGATCTATCTCGCCGCTCAGATCGCCAACTCCAGGAATCTCGCAGGCTCCGAGGATCATCAGCGACATCGTGATCCCGGGCATGACCAGCCTGAAAGGGAGTGTGGAGGAGACCCCTATGTTGGTGATTTACGGGCAAAGGCGGTAAGGTCTTACGATTTTTCTTGCCAGCAAGGTTCTTCAAAGCTGGCATGGAACCCCGAGAATCCTAGCAGTAGCAGGCACTCGTACTTCATCATGTTTGCTGCTGATGATCAACGTTTGCTTGCAGTGACTTTCCGAAACCGGCAGAAACTTAGTCTTTGGTTTGAGGATGATTCAGTGTGATAGCGGTTGAAACACTGCTGCTGATCCTCCTCCTCCTCCTCCTCCTACAGCAGCAATGGCAACTCCAACTACTGCGACGGCTCCTACCATAAACTAGCGCAAATCATGTTTGTAGCAATGATAGTGGGAACACTGTCACTGTCATAACAGACCCTAGCAACAGTAAAACAAGAGCAATAGCAATGGCGGTAGCTAATGGTGACAGTGATAGTGAAGCAAATACTGTAATTGTCTAGAATTTAGTTTGTCTTCGGTCACAACCAGTCGTGCCGGGAGGAGAAGCTGCACGACGCAGCCACTCGCCCGCATGCGCCAGGGTGTTGCGCCGAAGTGGTTCGAGTGGAAGCGGGGCTTTCAGAAACTGATGGGCCCCGGAAGCAGAAAGCTTTATGCAGCAAGAACCTTCAGTCCTTGTGCTATGGATCCGTCTCTTCTGGCCCTTTTTGTGCAGGGAAAACCGACAAGGGATCCACACCCATAAGAACGACGAGATAACCCTAATCGATCTGTGTTCGCGATCCTAGATGGGCATCGCATGACCCTAGGTCGAGGATCCTCTGCCGACGACAGAAGTGAGGCTTCGAGCGGCCATAGAGAGTCTACAGTAGAGTTCGGGGCCCCTGTTACGGGATTAGTTTGTTTTTTCGTATTTTGTGTTAAGGCCCGAAGCTCCAGTTTCGAGATGGGTACGGGAGAACTGAGTCAGGGGTTTAGGATGGAGGGTTTCGAGTCAAGAATAACGGACCGGAGGGCTTAGTCTAGGAGACTGGTGAATGGCGAGCTTGCCAGTACTGCCTCCAAGTCTCTGTGCACTTTAGTACGATCTTGTTCTTGTCTTGTCTCTCGCACGGATAGCACTTCATCTTAGAGCGGCCTCAGGCATCAGCTTAGTTCCTGAAGGGATTCGCTTTTGCAGGCTGTCCTCGCTGCCGAAGCCCAATTCCATGCCAGGCGCGTCAGGGCTGTGGAGGGGTTTAGTTTCGGGATGGGGCCGGAGGTCCAGAGTCTGGGTTTCTAAAGGGTTGGGCAACTTGGGGTTTGATATAGGTATAAGTAGGGTTAAAATTAGGATAACTATGGTTATAACCCATATTAAGAGGCTTATGACCCTACTTATAACGTGGTTTGATCCTCCTGGAAAGTTGGAGTGCCAGCTTCCTTCTGCGATCTAGAGCAACCAAGAACAAGCCAAACATTTTCTCTGCTTGTACTAGGAGAGAGAAGCTTTAGCGACCAGCAACCTAGCGACGGCTCCTCTTGCGATCTAGCGCAATCAAACATTAGGTGATTGCAGCCGCATTTCGGCACAAAGGAATGCTCTGGTAGAGATGTTGAAGGTATCGGCATGGCTGGATGACATGGCTGAGCATATCCTCACCACACAAGTGACATTGATCACCACGTGCCATCGTGGCCGGGCAACGCCGTCATCGACATCATCCACGAGCACTGCATGGCACTCCTGACTTGCAGACCCGACCTAGCCTGAAACGACTACCACCGGCTGACCAACTAACTACAGGGGCATGTGTCTAAGTTGGCCCAGCTGCGGCATGAGAGCTGCGAAAAGTTCCTCCGCAGAATGGTTCACCTCAGACCCGGTGGCGACAAGCTCAGCTGGCACACCGGTCCTTGTCCAGGCCTTTCCGCAAGACATTGCAAGACACTCGCGATTCATAGTACCTGTTGAGAAAAAGGAGCCGTTTGTTTAGGGACAGACAGCCCAAGGCCTAGGCCGCGAGCAAGGCGACGCCGGCAAAGGCTAAGCCCGCAAGCAGGCCGACACTGGCCAAGGCCAAGCCCGCTAGCAAGTCGAAGCTTGGTACTGCTACGCCGGCTGCCGAAGCAGCAGCAACTCCTCTTCTCTCCGAAGTGGAAGAAGGAGTGAACGAATCATGTCCTCCATGCATTTTGCATGTGACATGAACCTGGGTGGCACAAAGGGCCTTGGCCTAACACGCTGCGCAATTCCAGACACAATCACGTGCTGTTTCAGAAAGGGCTTTTCCATGCAGCGCAAGCTCATCTTTGATGGTTACAGCCCCGTGTCAGTCGCCACACCCCTCTTCAAGATGCCCGCCGAAGCCCGTGCAGAAGCTGCCAACTTGTTGGCCAAAGCAAACTTCCTGACGGATGTCAGTGTCTCTTTGCGTGCACTCCCTCTTGGAGTCTCCCTGGCTCTCGATCATTGTAAATGTTTGGACTCTGTCTTCGTCTCTCCGGCTTTTCTGCCAGTTCAGGAGGGCAACTGGAAAGAGCCCCGCGAAGATTGTTAGGAAGATGTACGTCACGCTGTTCTTGTACTCGGCGAACTCCCACTCGTGAAGACGCCGTCGGGGAAGAAGAGCGCGTAGGTCAGGAAGACAAAACGCGCTGTAACGCGCTGACACTGAATGCAAAACATTCTCAAAACGGCAGAAAAGCGAAATCTTCGAAGATGCGTCGTCATCAAAGAAATGCAAGCAAACATGCTTGCATGGCACTGACTACAGCGAATCAAGTAACATCGCCGAAGCGATGAGACAGAATTACCTTTCTCACACGCAATCAAGTGACATCGCCGTAGCGATGGGACAGAACTGCCTTTCTCACACGCACCATCCATGCAAGAACGGCTTCGTCATAAGACGGCTGAAGGCCGCGAGGCCACCCAAGTCTTGCTTGAAGCTGTACGTCACACCGTCACACCACAACATTCCACCTACAGAGTACACTGTCTACAGGGGGTTGTGCGAGGCGGAGGTTCCCTCGTAGGATTTGAGGCTGCTCGGACCCTACACATGACCCGACATCTCACAACACCTAAGTCCCAAGTCGACCCCAGGTCGTGCTTTACTGACTCCTCGAGTTTACATGTCAGATTCATATGGTCCTTCTCCATTGACTGCCGGCTGCACCCATCAACCCACAAACATGGTAACGGCGCCTGTGCGCGCCTATGCACGTTTAATCACTTCAGAATGAGGAGTTCTACATGGAGCCGCACGAAACCACAGCGAGAGCGCAATTTCAGAAAAAAATGCAGCTCAGGGAGGTGCGCGAAACACGGGGGCTGAAGCAAACTCGGGGCCTAACTGGCCTAACTGCGTTTTCGCCCGGGTGTTGAGCTTATTATTTTGCAGGAGGCTGCAAAACAAACTGTTTGTGAGATAAAGTTTTAGAGGAAGGAGTCCTGACTTGCCAGACTCGCCTTACCTAGGTAGGGTCAAAGGTTGAAGCTTGAGGCAACAACTGAAGTGCCACAGGCCTTCATTTTGCTCATGCCGCCGCCTTCACTAGTTGTCCCAATGCGCACATGAATTTCGCACGTCTTGTGGCTTTTCGCCGGAGACCCTGCCACACATAGTTGAGGTGATGAGAGGTAATTACTCCAAAGTCAACATGGAAGCTTGTATGCTACTGTTTGAGTTACAGATGTCGTTATTAGCCCCACCCCACAACCCCCGAAACCCTGAACTATGTAAAAACGCATAGGCGCGTGCAGGCGCCGATACCACAAGCATTCATTAAAGATCAGTCTTCGCATTCTTCGCTTCGTAATTCACGCAGGGCACCACAAAGCTTGTATGTAAACTGCATTCGTCATTTATGAGTGCCATCATTGTTGGTATAATTGGACAGTCCTTGCTTCATGTGTATTGGAGTCCAGCAAAGATGTCTGGATGTAGAAACCATGGGGAACGGATGAGGCCACAGCAAACACGGTGTGCATGCATCAAGCACACCCGAATTGTTAGACTCAACTTGATTAATTACATGTGATCCTGCCGCATAATCAGTAACCTGAGCTCTGAAGAAGTAATTTTTCGATGTTTCAGATCCATTCCGATCCAGTGAAGCGGAAACCTTCTCTTAAAACACCTTGCTCCGCAGGTTCTGACACCAGCACTGACGCGCCGGGACATACGTGCGGGCCTGACCTACCTTCCGAGGGATCCAAGTATGAGTTTCTGGTCTTGGGCGGGATTTAGCGGGTCTTTACCGTTTCAGTTGCTCTGTGTTTGAGGTAACGTTGCGCAACCTTCTGAGAGCATCACGGAATTCGGAAAGCACACGCAGTGTGATTCTCCACAGTTCGGATTTGAGGTTCCGGGGGCAGTGTAGTGCTTCAGTGCCAGTACGTTCGGAACCCTTCACATGGACGTTCGGGAAGTTGTGGGTGTCGGTTCCTGCACCTGATGCCCAGCACCTCGGAGATTGATGCGAAGCTTTCAAGATGTATCTTGGCTCTGGTGTTCAGCAATGTCCCGGCGAGTGGGGCAAGCCTAAAAATCATGTCGCTCGGATTCAGATGCAATGCTGGCTATTTCTCGTCGCTGCACATTAGAGAGCTGTAGTGAGTAGGATTCTTAGTAGTCCAGCAACATTGATGACAGGGGTAAAGTTTGCTGTGAAAGCGCATGCGCATATAGTGAAGAGGCAGAGGTCAGATGCTGACGTCGCACTGACGGGTTTAGGGCGTTGGCCTTGGCGAAAGACTTTGTTTTGGGTGTTCAAAGTAGAGAGTTTTCCGGCGTTTTATGCTCATAGCTTCTGTAAATATAGCTGTTAGGTCCTTTAGGACTTTAGGGCCTTCAGGATTTGGCTACCCGGGGCCGAAGGGCCCGGAGGCTGCTGGGCCACATGTTTCGTGAAAACTAGCGACGGGAGGTCGGAGGAGGCCCTCAAAGGCCGTCAAAGCCTCCCCTCCGCTAAAGTATGCGGGCCTTATTAATTGGAATCAGGGTTTGCGGTTAAGTATAGTATGGAGATGACAAGGAGCCCCAAACAATAATAATATAGGTGACTATTCAGGCCCTTACATTACACCCTCGATCTTTAGCCCCTTAAGGCTTGAAACCTCCCCAACCTTTCCGACCAGAAGTGATCCTTCGCCAAGGCCTCCCGCTCCTGCGCTGAGGGGCATCACCAAGGTGTCTGGGATTTGGAATCTTATGCTCTGTTTGTATTGGTCTCTTCTGATCTGACTGCATAAGAACTTTACTTGGAATATCGTTAGTAGCAGTATTCATATTTCTGTAAATTGGAACTTGTCCTTTCCGATTTCCTTCTCTTTCGCTACCTCACGCCCAGGTGTTTCGACGCGGCCTCCATCCGGGAGAACGAGCGCGGTGCTCGGAGTCCGAAGGTGCTTGATAAATCCTGAAAGCAACACCAGTGTAAAGCCCTAAATCCCTTAACTCTAAGCCGCTAAGCCCCTAAACCAAACCCTTAAACCCAAACCCTAAGCCCGGTAACCCCAAACACTAAGCCCCTAAAGTCCCAAAATCCTACAGCCCCAAACCGTAAAACCTGAAAACCCAAATACCCTCAACCCCTAGAGCCCCAAAGCCTTAAAGCTCCAAGGCCTTAAAGCCACAAAGCCCTACTTAAACCCAAAAGCCTTGAAAAGCCCTAAAGCCCCAATCCCTACAGCCTTACAACCCCTAAAGCCCTACACCTTAATGCCCTGAAGCCCCAAATACCCTAAACCCTTACCCTAAACCCAAAGGCCGACACTCCCTTAACAAAAAAAACTGAACCCTAAACCCTTATAGCCCCAAAAGAAGCCCCAAGACGAAAAGTCCATGGCGAGGCCCAGGTCGAATCGCTGCTGCTGCCGGCAGGGGAGAGCGAGCTACGGCACGCAGCGTGTCAGGACTTGAGGGTTTAGGGTTTAGGGGTTTAGGGGTTTAGGGTTTCCGTTTAGGGTGTCAGGACTTGAGGGTTTGGAGTAGGGGGGAGGGATGCATTCCAGGAATGTTGGGCTTCGTGTTTCGGAGTTTTGGGGTTTGGGGCTTGAGGGCCTACAGGTTTAGGTTTGCAGCGGGTTTGGGACTCGGGATTTGGCATTTATGGGGCCCAGGGTTTATTGACAAAGCTCGGTGAGTAGGTTTAGTCTACAGGGCTTAAGTTTGAGCTTTAGGGCTTTGGTCTAGGCTTTGGGTTGTTGGGTTTTAGGCTTACGGCCTTGGTTTGGCGATAAGGGTAGGGGTTTCGTGCAGTGACCTAGGGTTTCGGGTGTGGCCTCAGCTTAGTAGTTTAGGGTTGAGCTTTGCCTCAGCAGCCTTATGCAATCCAGACGCAACCGCATAAAAGGGCATATCAAGCAGTAAGAAGCCCCCCCCAAAGTATCGAAACCACAATCCCCCAAACAACTTCACAAGTCCATGCAGGAGCCTGAAATCCATCTGCTGAATCCTCAGCCCTCAAGTGCAGAGGTAGGCACTAAACTCACCTCCACCCTTGAACCTTATTTCCCACATCCCTATATCCTAAACCCTCCGCACTGTGAACCCTATCATAGCCGCCGATAAACTAAACCCTATAAACCCTATCGTATACCACTAAGACAAGCCCGCCAGACTCCTCGGAGGAGTTCCGATGGGCCTTGGAAAGCGGTGGCCGGGCCAGAGGGGAAACGATCGATCTCCCAGCAGCGCTAACGGTGCGCCCCAGCCCACCAAAGTTCAGGAGTTTAGGATTCAAGGTTTACGGTTAGGAAACATGAAATGAAACCGCAAAAAATCCGAAATGCTAATGAAGCGAAGCGAATGATGCGTTTAATGAAGTATTGTTAGCGGTTTAGCAGGGGTTTGGAGGTTCGAGTTTGAGGGCTTTGGTTTGTCGGCTCTTCAGTTTAGGAGTGTGACCACGTTTGTTCGTTAAGCTCGGACTTGGGCGTCTGCATGCGCCACGTTGGAGATCGGACATGAGCAACTTCCCGCAGTGAGTTCTTGGCTCTCAGTCTTCTTGTGCTGATTTCCTCCTCGCCTTCTTTTCCCCGACCTCACCTCGATGTCCGTGATGCGTGCGCTCGTCTTTGTGCTCCCCCTGGTGGCAGCAGAGCCCCAGTCCCTTCACGGAGCCTTTGACGAGGTGGCTTGCACTGGCAACGGAGGCCTGGCAGAGAACAGTCCGTCGTGCTACGGTGGCCAATTCCTTGTGGAGAAATTCTCGCTCCATGTGCTGAGCTATGACGGCTCTACGGGCATTGTCGACATGAAGGCGGAAGGTCCCCAGTCGGCCGAGTGTGATGGCGCAGAGTTCCAGAGTGACGACAACATGATCACCATCGAGAACGATCAGGGATGTGGCTTGAGCAACTACGAGTACACCGTGAGGTACTGCCCGGATCAGGACCATGCCTCTTGACGTCAGCCAGAGTGACACAGCTGTGACACCCGTGAACTAGCAGGGGTATACACACGTTGCACACGAATCATGAGAGGATGAATGTTAGTAGCGATACCAACAAGTAATGATGTTGCTGAAATCTCAGTGCTTCTCGTGCTCAGTCCTGAAAGCCGAGGTCATCGTAAACCTGGTGAAGCCCTACAACGCGCGCGTTGTCTTGCAGAGCCAGACCTGCCCTAGCGCCGGTGAGGTCTGAGAGCCCTCTTTTGACAAGCTGTGCCGAAGGTGCGCAGGGACATAATTCGAATCGGAAGTGCCGGCTAAGTCCTCGGCTCTAATTCAGCAGGCCTTTTGCATCCAATTCCTTGGATCTCGCGGGCGTACAAAGCCCAGATGGAGTGACAGGATGTGTATCGCGACTATGAAACTTCATTGCTGAGGTCCGGCAAAATGCGCATCTGCCAAGGAACTGGGGCCGGGAGGATTCACTCGAGGAGAATGTCAATGCCAATGCTTCTTCCGCTGTTGCCCTACGATGACGATGATGAAGATGATAATGATGACGGTGATGCTGATGTAGCTACGTTGGCAATGGTGGTGACAACAAGAACTTGACGATGATGCTGGTGGTGACAATGATTCTGTCATGATGGTGAGGGGGAAGGAGGCGTTTGCTGGTTGTGACCATGAGTGTAAATGTAAGTTGTGCTTTGTCTCTGGTTGCTACTTTCCACCATCATGTTGTTTGTGCACATTCCGGTGGCGGGCGATGGTATCATTTTCAAATACCATAATATGAGTTCCGGAGATCATCTAAGACCTTCTTTTCTATTGGCCCTGGCTCCACCCTACAGAGCCCGGGTTTTGGGCCTTTGGGCTGGATCTGCAGGGGTTGTGGCTTGCGAGAACAGAGATTGTCGTTGGAAGGCCATCCGGCAGCTGGCATACCTTTACGGACTGCCTGCTCTTGATCCCGATGCGGCGCAGAGGACACACCATGTGGAAGGCTCAGGCTTCACTCTTCGGGAGCCCTTTCCTCACCTTAGAGTCTTTGTGGTGCAAGGGTTCTTTATGAGGCAGCCTGTCCAGGCATATAGATACAACATGGGTTCCGAAGCCCTGAGCCCTTGAGTCTCAGCACTTAGCCCTAAGAGGAAGTCGAAGTGAGGGAACTACCCCGGCACAGTTTCCCTTCTTCGCAGCGGTTTGTTCTTCAAATCCTTAAACCTCCACCCCTGGCCCTACCACAACCCCGAACGCCTAAGCCCTAAACCCTCCGTGCACGCTGCACCCTCAACGGTTGACTCGGAACTCCTGCTGCTCAGCTTTTGCACCGATGCCTTCTCGGTGAAGGGCGTTAGGGATGCGGGCTTGGAGATAATGCCCCAGCCCCTAACCATCCCAGTCTACACAAGTTGTAGAGCTGTAGAGACGTATAGTGTGCTATTATTCTTTTAAATATAGTTCACAGCGTCCAGCTTCTTGTACATGTTTTTACGCAGTGTACATAGTTCTCTCTCTCTCTCTGTCTATCTAATATATATATATTTATATATATTATATGTATATATATATATACACATATGCATACCATCCATACTCTTGGTTGAGAAAATGCTTAGGGACCCCCCAAGCCCAGCAGCTTGAGGCTCCTGGGCCCCAAATCGCCGAATCCCCAAGTCGCAGACTCAGAGCTCTACACCCACAAACTTCTGGGCCCTAAATTTTTAAAACTCGAGCCCTCAACTGTGAAGTCTAAGCCTTAAGCTAAGCCCTAGAAGCTAAGCCTACACTTCCAGAAAAGCTTCAGCTTCTGTTGCTAGGATTTTTGGTTCCCTGGACGCCGTCGACCGATCGACCTTTGAGGCTGTTTGGGGAGGATGACAAGAGTTCAATATCCGGGGCTTGAGACTAGAATAAGGTCTTATAGGGGTTTTGCAAGGGCTTAATGTGGGGTCCTTGGCTTCACAAATTGGTTCCGTATGGTTTTTGCAGGGTAGAACATCCGGATACTCAAGTTATACAAAAGAGCTCTGGCGAACCCTGCTCTCGCCATCAAGGCGCCTATATTGGAGAGATGTCAGCCGCTGCGAGTTTTGAGATCAGGATTCGGTTGCAGCTTGGTGTTCAGAGTTTAGGGTTTGGGTGGTCCAGGGTTTGGAGTTGAGGGTTTAGGATCATGATGTATCCGTCACTTTTCATCTTGCTTGAGTCACTGTACCATTCTTGTTACTAGCAGGCGTGCTCTTGGTTGCAGTACTTCGTCAACACATCCATGCTAACGTTTTGGTGCCCGAGGTGTTGTGCCAGGAGCACACGGCTTGGGCTGCAGGGTTTGAGATGGTCGAGGGTTTGATGTTACGGAGCTTTCTTGCTTTCATGAAAGCGGGCCGAAGCTTCAGCTGAAGGATACGATCTTCGTCTTCTGCTAACGTTCGACAAAAGGTATGGGCGCCCACATGATCATGCGATTATTTGCCTTGTGCTTGGTCTGTTTGGCGCCTTGGTTAGGCGGACCTTATGCAGGATTCTTTTCTAAGGCGGCTGCACTGTTGAGCCCCACGAAGACGCATGGTAAGGCTGAAGAGCTGTACTAGCCATGAGACCATTTACAGGAAGGAGAATTATTCATGATAGACAGACCGGTCATTGTGAGAAAGACCGGAGCAATGGCAATGTCCACCACACCGGCCATTGTAAGGTTCAGAAGGGTTGAAGATCACGAAAGCTTCGAGCTAGCACAGCCCCGGCGTCCATCTAGTGATACGACTTAGAAGCAGCCGATTCGGCACTGTCCTCAGGTATAATGTGGTAGTGCGGCTTGTATAGTCTGTAGCATCTTTCATCCTGCTCGTGCGATGACGGACAGGCCGCTCTACCCAGCTTGCTGAGAGCCGCACTACAAGACCAAAGCCGCTGATGTGCAGCCCACATTTTGTAGAGTTTAGATATACTGCTGAAAGCAAGCCTGCTTGATAAACTTTGTGCCGTTCTGCGCTTGTAGCTGCTACTGTGGCTCCTATGTCAAGCTTGGATTGCCCACCTGGAGTCAGACCGACACAATGCTAGTCCAGTAGCCTCTCGAAGTGCCCAAGTCTGGATCCACGATTATCCTTAAATGAGCTATCCAGGGATATGCTGTAGGGCAGTCAGACAGAAGCCTCTAGCCCATACCTTTAGATGCTTCCCCCCCCTCACCAACCTCTTCCCTTGACTCTAGAGCCGAAGCCGTAGCAATACAATCCTTCAGAAGTCCGGTTGTTCGGTCTCGGAGAGGTCCTAGCTTTCTACGAGGTGTGGGATTCAGAGTTTTGTCGAGATTTCCTTTTTGAAGCAACTCTCGTGTTCAGCCTGGATCGTCGAAAGCACTTGCGCAAAGGGGGCAACCCGCGCATTCACGATGGTTTCGGTAATCCTCGAAAAGACACCTTTACGAGATCAGTCGCACATTTTCACTGTTTTCGGTAGGCATGACGGCGGACATCTTTCAGTTGCACAAATTCAAGAAGTTTACTTGCAGGCACATCTGCAGAGATTCTGAAGCCGAAAGAGTGTACGTCCCAGTTTTGCTTTGGACGAACCTCTCACTTGTTTCGATAGGCTGCCAATATGTGCCTGGAGTCAGGTTGTATGTCTGGTGAATTCAAGCTCTTCTGCCAACGCTGCGGATGAACCACCAAGGCGTCCTGCATCAGCCAGGACATTTATGCCTCAGCGGCTTTAGAGAAAAGTTTGAAACCGGCGGACGAATCCTGCGGATATGAGTTTCCACGATTTCGTCGCGATGAGACTGCCTTCGAATATGTTTGGCTCAATGCAGCATCGGCTCTGAAGCACGGACCTGCAGCCTGGCACTTGCAGCTGAAACCTTACTCGTTTAGTCCTTTCAGAGCCACCCTACAGCCCAAAGCCCTAAGCCGTAAAATCCCCGACCCCTATCAACCCAGCCCTAGCCCCTATAAGCCCTTACTAAAATTGAGAAGCTAAACAGGCAAAGCCATCACCTCTGAACCGGTCCGCCAACACTTCCAGCATCGGGCGCGGCCGCGACAGCAGAGGTTGGGATCTGAGCCAGTTGTTTTTGTTGCTCGGATTTTTTTGGTACCGCTGATGGGCAACATCCTGAATTCTCTTTGGTGACTCTAGTGCTGCTCAGACTTTTGCGCGAGCTCACACAGACAATATCAGTATAGTTCATTGTAAGAACATGAATATAAATGTAAAGGAAAATAGACAAATAGATGCAAAACTGTGTGTGTGTACATATATATATATACATACACACAGAGACAGACAGACAGGCAGACACAGACAGGCAGACAGGCAGCCAGCCAGGCAGCCAGGCAGCCAGGCGGGCAGACAGGCAGACAGGCACACAGATAGATAACAAGAGAGACACCAAGTGACGGGAGTCGAACCTCTAGGCGAAAACACACTCAGGGCGCGTGCCCGCGCGAGCACACCAAATGTTAAATCAAAATAACGGCCGAGCACGAGGACTGAACGCAGTGCATGGCCGAGACCACATGTGCAAGATCGAAATCACAGACAAATTTAGCTTGTAAGCAACTCTACAAAGGCATCGCCATCAGAAAGCGACTGCATTCATGGGTGTCCTATAGTCAGGAAATTACCAAACCCCCTCACTTTTGCAACTTGCCTTGGCAATCAGTTCTTGTTGCTGCTTCTCCACCACTGCCTGCGGCTCAGATTGACGCTGAACTCTGAAGTATGCATCCGCTGCACAACGGGCACAATGACATCGCAGAACGTGGTCTCCTCAGCGTGCGATTGCACCAGGCACCACGCAACTTTTGTCCGTCCATGCCTTTTGTTCTGCCTACCTTTGCACCAGCGTCCAAAACGAAGCGGTCTCCATGCAGACCCAAGACCGCAACTGCACGCTACATTTTTTGCATGTCTAAGAATTTACTGCGCGTGGCTTGCTGAGGAGGGGTGGAGTGAGTCAGCGAGGACATCGCCCAGCAGCGGTGATACTCCGTGGGCTTTGGATGTGTTGGAAGTGACCACACGGAGACACGGAGAAGCTGTCAGCAAAGGCGCGGGCGGCCACGAAGGAGAGCAAGGCTGACCAGCGAGAGGTAAAGGCCGAAATGCTGGGTCCACGCGCCTGGCACATTGCTGGAGCTCAGGTGTGCCGGACCAGCGTACATGCTAGCTTGCTGCTGGCAGGGGTATCATTTGGTATCTCCTTTATTAAGGCTGGCCGTCATCCACGGGCAAGCTTGCGAGCCC